AAATCGTTTCATATGTCAGTCCGAATTGCTGCGCACGGCGCCCTCTCTATATTTTGGTTGTCTATTCGGTTGAATATTATTCAAAAACAAGAAAAAATGTAAACTTCGGCTGCACCGAAGCTAATATACTCTTCACAGGTGCATTTCTTTTAGTTACTATGGTTCCAGTTTGTATGGCAGCTATATGCTATAGTAATCCGATCTGAACAATTCTTTCGGAGATGATATTATTACCTGAAGCAGTAATCCATGACAAATTTCGTGCAGTTACCCCGACAAATGTGAAAGTTTTCCATACAAGAACTTGATTCAAATTCAATTTGTATGACAGCTATATGTTATAATGGTCAGATATCGGCAATTCCGACAAATTAGCAGCTTCTTAAAGAGAAAATGACGTTTGCAAAATTTCAAAATGATATTTTAAAAACTGAGTAACTACTTCGTGTATATAGTATACAGACGGACAAACCAGACGGGCGGTCATGGTCACAGTCGGTCATGGCTAAATCGACTCAGCTCGACATACTGATCATTTATATATGTATATACATTATATGGTCTCCGACGCTTCCTTCTGGGTGATACAAACTTCGTGACAAACTTAATATACCCTGTTCAGGTTGTAGTGAATGCTGGAACTTGAATGATGGTGTTGCGAATAGTACGCTAAGTAAGACGTTTATGTTGACCATAAGTTGAGTGAAGCGCGCGAAAAACATTCTTTACAGAACATGAAAGTTGAACGATTTGTAAACGTTGTTCAGTAGTAACTTTACCATGATGAAATGCCAAACAGAACTGAATAAAAATAACATAACAGCTTGACACGACTCAAAAAAACCAGAACTCGATCTCTTTAAAGGGGCCAGTAAGCAGTGCCAAGGTTAATAATCTTATCCGAAATCGAAGGAAAAAAAAAACTCATTCGATAAGATTTGCACGAATTTGAAGTGGTTTCGGAAATCAGCGACATAAGTAAGTACAAGCCTGTCAAATAAATATTATCACAAATTGGTCGGTTCATAAACAACCAACAGGAAATATGTCAATACGTGACGTATTTAACTAAACATTAACACTTTGATATCAAATTAAGGCAATTACAGTGTTGCTAACGCTAAGGTAGTACAAAAACAAAAATGTTTAATGAACCATAATTGAAAGTGATCGTAGATACCAACGATCGTCATTGATTTATACGTTATTTGTCAAAATCCTTATGAGAGAGAGAGGGAGAGGAAGTTGTTATCAACTACTCAACTATATATGTATGTATATTATATTGACGTAATGATCGAAAGAGTTCCAAGGACCGCTACACAGAAAATTTTCCATTCAAAAAACAATAAACAAAAAAAAAAAAACAAATCACATCAAAAAATAAATTAAAAAAAACGAAACAGTGAAGTTTAGAGAAGTTCACTAATAAATGGCACACATTTGTGGTATAATAATACATATGTAAATATAATATAAGATTGACAGCTACTTTGAGCGTCTACAAAATTCTTGTCTGGCAGAAGTAAATACAAATTTCCATACATACATATATATTATTGTATGTATATACTCTTAGGGTGCCCGCAGAGTGGACGCTCAAAGGCGAGACGAGCGTAAATGCGCGTGCTGCGTAAATGGGATCACCCTTAGACAGTATTTTGGCGACTACTTCTTTGTTGTGATAAGAATATTTATATTTTCATATTTGCGAAAATTGTGATAGCATCTTAAATATATAACAAAATCAATGTCAAGATATTATTTGTTGAGTCTGAATTGCAAAATAAAAAAATATATACATACATATGTCTGCTTTTGTACATAATAAGGAAAAAAATCGAGCAAGTACTTTTGCAATATAAAATGTATTAGTTTTAATTAATTTTTTTTTTTTTTCGAAAATCCAACTGTGAAATCTTGTAGCTTATACCTTATAAGATTGAATGAAAAATGTTATAAACAATTGATATATGTATGAGAAAAATGTAGACAAATTCCATATTTTTACTTTTAAGAAACTTACATTTTAGAACTAATATTAATTTGGCCAGGAAGCTCAATTTCGAAAACTAACGAAATCTAAGTTCGAAAAACGCAAAAGTTAGAGCTAATATCAATTTGGGTAGAGCGATCAATTTCGAAAATTCTAAGAAAAATATTTCGATTATGGAGGCTAACTTCGAAAACCGAAAAAGTTAGAACTAATATCAATTTGGCCAGAAAGCTCAATTTCGAAAATTCGAAAAATATTTCGATTATGGCGGCTAACTTCGAAAAACTATTTTCTTTAAAGTGTAGTCAACAGTGTTATGGACGTCTTCATTTTGTAATCTTAACCAGTTCTCAAGAGATGAGTTGAAACATGATTCATGAAAGTATTTTGGAACAAAGCAATGAGTTTTGTATGTGAACCGAAAAGTTTTTTAAAATTATATAATTAAACTTTTTTTAAATTAAGTTTCCACTGTTGAAAAAGGATAAATGAAAATATTACCAAAACTGATGGAAACTTTAGGTATTTAAAACTATCTAGAATTACCTTAATTTTAAAATCCATTGCTAAATCGTTGCAAATTTCTAATAATCTTGCAAAAGATATTGGCGAAGTCTTCATTTGAGACATATTCTTCAACAAAAATCCTTAGAGGAAGACTTAAAAATGATTAATTTATGCTCCATTATCATTATTAGAACATTTGGGAGTTTCCAAAAGTAAAAATATTCCAAATTTTTTATCCTGCCCAATATGGTATTAGTTTCGTAGCCGATTTACTATCGATATTAATTAAAATTATTTTTACTGTGGATTTCTGTTTAAGAATCTTTTAACGCTATTTATTTCTGAATTATTTGACAGGGTTTTTAATAAGAACGATATGATTTATTTAAATAAAAAAAATACTTGTCAAATGATTTTTTATTTAACGTGAAGTACAATCGATACAATTAAATTCTGAATATAACATCATTCAAATGGCCTGCACCACTTCTTTTACAGGAAAAAATTCGATGAACGCAGTTTTCGATTAAATCCACTAAATCAAGTCGTATGTTATGATAGTCAATATTGAAATTTCTTGAAAAAACTTTGAAAAAACTCTTTTATATTGCAAAGGACTAATTACCCCAAAAACCCACACAAGAAGTAATTATGGTGTTAAATTATAACTTCTTGGAGGCCATTCCAAATCATAATTTCTTGAAATAATCAAATCTCCAAACTTTTCTAGCAATAATTCGGTTGTTGCATGGGCTGTGTGGCATGTAGCCCCCTTTTGTTCGAAACAAATGTTGTCAAGATCAACTTCTTCCAATTGCGGCCATAATAAGTTGAGTATCATCGATCTATACCGTTCTCCATTGACAGCACCGGTACCACCAGCTTCATTTCGAAAGAAGTACGAACCGATAATTCCACCACACCAAACTGTCAATTTCAGTGAATGTAATGGTTGTTTATGAATAATTCGTGGATTTTCCTTGCACCAGAATGGACAGTTTCGTTTCTATATCGCACCATTCAGATGAAAGTCAGCCGAATCGGAGAAGATGATTTTCTTAAAAAAATCGTTATCATTTGCAAGTTGTTCAAAGGCAAAGTCACAACGTTTACGGTGGTAAGATGGTTTTAGTACTTGAGTGAGAATAATTTTATACGGATGCAAGCTTAAGTCTTTTATCAAAATCCGCCAGTTTATAGTTTGAGGTACGGTTGTGTCCCGGTTGTGGTCTGAGTCTTGATAAGTCTTGGAATCGGAAAATTGCGTTCTTCACCCACACTTGCCAGAACGGCAGCAATATTTTCATTACTTCGAGCGGTATATTGTCTTATTGGCACTAGATCATTATGTAAAGAAAATGTTCGCTCGAAATGTTCAACAATTTGTTGAAAAGCGAGCACAGCTCTCCATTGACAGTGACACATAGAAAAGGTGGACATTATTACGTCCATAAAATGGCAAAAACGCTCAAATAGTTGATATTGGTTAACGATTATTTTGATTATAAAATTGTAAACATTAATAAGTACTACAATGAAAAAAAAAAAAAATACAGATGATGACGTATTACGAATGACCGAAACGTCATTTGTCATCATCTCATATCATCAATCATATCATGCTATAATTCGTTTTCTACTTAAAAACATAAATAAAAATAATTAAAAAATTTCAAAAATGTATTTTTTTTCGCAACTTCCAACTACCGAATATACTAGTATTTCTGAAATTTCATAAAATATATGAGATAATATTTTAAATATCTAGCCACTTTTATTTTAATGGCTGTATCTATAATATAATATCAATAATAAAAATTAAATATTTTGCGTTTTATTTACAATTTCCGGGTACTTTTTTGTCAACATATATTTAAACCTAAAGGACAATAATGACTCAGTGGTTTCTTAAATGGAGCTCTATAAAGTTTTAGTAGTTTTGCATACCGACACTTTATATTAAAAAAATAAAATATGTGCTTAATTATTTAATTATTGCATATTATATAATAAAACAACTGCTGTAAATGTTATATATCCTCACTTAAAATGCAAAATAACGTAAAACCACTTTTGATAAGCTTACAGCCGTTGGAAACACGATATAACAGAAAGACACTCTTAATGAAAAAGTTTTGGGTTTTGGTTATAAAATGGTTACATATCGGTTATACTATATATTGGTTATATCTGTGAGCGGAAGCTTGAAAATTTTTTCTGATCGTTAGCATTTTTTTGAAGAAACGTTGTTTTGCATTTTAGATGGCGATATATACATATTTCTCCTAACTGTTTACCTTAAATAAGAATTGGACACGAACAAGCCATAACCAACAGTAGCCTTGAAAGTATTGAAAGCAACAGAAAAATATTCATTTACAACGAGTTTTTACACATTTTATAAAAAAAAAAAATGTTTTCTTTGTGTAAAATGCAACTTGGGCCTCATGCTAAAAACAACAACAAACATCAATATTATTATTATTCAGCTGTTTACCTGCTTCAGTTGCTTTTGCACAGCTGCTCCGTTTAATTAATTGAGCAAATAATTCCACCAGATTCGGCAATTAGCATAACAGACATGTTCTATTGCACACGTTCATACAGACACATGCACGCAAATGTTGTGACAAGTTCAATAAACGCGTTAAATTTGGCAACTGATTTGCAAACAAAATTGCACCGAAAATACACAACAACACACACGACAAATAAGGAGTTTGACCATAAACGTTTTTGTTGTATTTGTATTTGAATTGTGGTTTGAAAAAATATTTTCAATTGATTTTCGTATTTTTTTGATAACTTGTTTTATTTTTATTTGCACCTTTTAATTAACTTAATTACTTTTGATTAACTTATTCTTTTGTCACTCGGAGTTTTTTTTTTTTGTTTTGCTTGTGAACAGTTATTGTTTCAATTCACAGTTGTGCGTTAATTTTCGGAAAATTTCAAGTTGTTCGCGCCTCTAAGCACGAGCCGTAACTGAACCGCACCAGAGCTGTGCGCGCTCATATTTATATACATACATACAAACGTACAAACGTACATACAAGCGTGTGCATTTAGTCAAAAGCGTCGCATGCGTTCCGAAGTGACTCAAAGGCGACTGCGCCGCTGCGACACGATTGCAAAATAACTCAAAACAAACTCAATTCCAAAGAACAATAATGAAAAGCTATAATAATTATTATAAAAACTGTCTCAATGCGCGCTGATAACACGTTGATTACTAAGTGATAGCAATGGTATACTAATGGCGGGTGGAAGGGGAGGCACGCATGTGTGTGTGTGTTCGTGCGAAGGTGCTGTCGGCGCGCCAATAAGCCATCCATCTGCAGAAGATTTGCAAACTGCGAAACTATTTTTTTCTTCTGCAAAAATTAAGTATTATAATTGACCATGCCTGTATGTACATATGTGTGTCTGTGTGTGTTTATTTACATTCCTGCCTTTGATTTATGCAAAGTGGTGTGTGGCTCAGCCAGTGCGTGTGTGAGTATGTTTGTTCTGCATGTGCGAAAGCAGGCGATCGTGACCGATATACTTATGTACATATATTTTACATATATGTTTGTAAATAAACGCACGCGTTGCACACGAGCTGAGAAAGTGCGCGAACGGAATTCGCCACAAATAAATTAAATGCTGTGAAAATACCATTTAGATAAAACTAAAATAGAGTTTGGGAAATAAATATTAATATTATAAATTAGTAGAAATCACAAAAAAAAGATTTTATATAATATTTTTATTGTCTTATAAAGTTTGAGTATGTGTGTAGTATAAAATAATTATTTTCTCTGGTTTCTATAAAATTAAAAAATAAATGAAATTTTTATTTTAGAACCACCAATTAGTGTAGCTACATGTTAAAAAGCATAATTATTTTATTCAATTAAAAAAGTTGAAATTAACTTAATTTTTTTTATTGTAAATAAG